ACAGTGGAGTTCTTGAAGAAGTGAAAGGAGTAGATTTCCTCTGTTGTTTTCTGTCACAGGGCGAAGTCAGATTTGATGTTGCATGTCAGCTACTGGAGGAGATCTTATCAACCAATCCTGAAATGGCTGCATTTTTGGAGGTAACTCTATTTTATAGTGATGCTAGGATCTGGACTGAGAGATTGTTAGTACTGTTGGATGCCTGAGAAGAAAAGGCTTCTTTAACTAAGCTTTTAATGGACAGTGAAGTGTTTGCTTGATAAAGCATGATTTAAACAAGAAGAGAGGATGAAAAGTTATCCCATGTTCCTGTGCATGGGACATGTTACCTTGTTTTGGCCACATTTGGGTGCTCATTTTTCCTGGGGAAAATAAATTTGCATTCATGCTGAAGAAGTGGTAACTTGTTAGATTGTAACATACTGTCTTTGATCTTAAATCAAAGAATATTTTGAGAATTGCCATGAGGGAAACAAATTTTGTTGAAAATTTAGGGAAATGGTTAGATTGAGTTACTAATTTTATGTTTTCTGTGGAAATTATAATTAATAAACATTTGGTTGATGTAAAGCATCTTCATTTGTTCATAATTTATGGTGCCTGGGAAGTTGAGATTGTCCTTTGCTGCCCCTGTGGCTGGTCCTTCCTCTGTAGCAAACTGCAAGTCCCATTGCAAACTGCAGCATAAACCATCTATGTATTGTGTGAACTTTATCAGCAATGTTAATCTTGTGTTTCACGTCCTTTCAGAGTGGAGAAGAGCAGGTATTACTGTGTCCCAAAAATGGTTACAAGAAAATAGCAAGTGATCTTTGCTTTGACTTCTTTATTTCTTTCTGTTTTTTCTTTTAAGGAGAATATTTTGGGTCAGAGTGGGTCTTCAGGAAGTGAGCCTGTGCACACTGTGGTGGAAGAGAGAGTTTTGCTTGGCAATATGAGCTGTGGGAACAGCTCCCTTGAGCCAGAGGACCCTGGTAAGAAGAGAGTTGACATGTTTTTAGAGATGACTGAGACAGCTCCTCTGAGCCTGACTTTTACGGAAAGGAGAGGTCAGAATAGTTGATATGAGAGTTGATGATAGAGCTGAAGGAGCTGTTACTCACTTTAAAGGGTAGTTTTTAGATCCCAGGTAACAATGTTAGTTAACATCTCACAATGCCCATCAGTTTGTACCATTTAAGTGAGGACTGAGGTCTCTTTGTCATTACAGAAAAGAAACATGGCTAAAACTCTTTTTATGAGATGTGAATGCCTCTGTTCAAAGTTCTCATGGGTGATACAATGCTAATGCTGCAGCTTTTATCAGGGTACTTAAAAAGTTGAAGTTTTGAAATCTTGGAAGAATTCCTATTCTTGAAACAACAGGCTTCAAATTCCTGAGTGAGAGCCTGCCTTTCAGGCTGTGTTTTATGACCTCTGATAGAATTACAATTGCTAGGTGTGCTGCCAAGGGAGACATAAACAAGGCCCAATGTTGATTTGGTGTTTCCTTTATTTTCCTTTGCTTCCTAGAAGTCCATCAGCTGTACCTTTCCAGAAGGGCTGCTTTGCACAGGAGGAAGCTACCAAGGGAGAGCCTGTGAAAATAGGATCTCTCTCTATATAGTTATAGATGTATTAGGTGGTTGTACTTACACAGTTATAAGGATATTTGGATAGCTATACTGATATTTGCATGTTTAGATATAAGCAGTACACTTGTAGGAATCTGCAATAAATTAATTTTTTTAACTGAAATTGGCATTTGTGTATTTATATATAGTCATCAGACTCTCTGCCCATATCTCTCTCCTGGGCAGCATGTACATCCTGTCCTGGCACTGACAGTCTAGGTCAGTCTTCCAGGGCAGGGAGGAAAAGCAGAATCACTGCCATCACTCTCTGTCCTCCTTGCAGACCCTGAGAGCTGTGGACACCATTCTGGAAGCAACGGTGCTCAGCTCTCTTGCCTCCAGAGTCAATGAGGTGCTGCATGACGTCCTAGGGTTCTAGGCTATGTGAGGAGTGGGCATCACAGGGCTGTTCCTCACCCTAGGCAGGAGGACTTGCCCACTTCTGGGTGGGTGGTCCCCAGCACAGTGCCATGCTGGCAGTGTGCTGTGGGGAGGGTGCTCACTTCCCCTGGAGAAGCACGTAGCACCAAGCTCTTTTGGAGGGCAGTGGCTGCAGAGGATGGCAWCTGCCTTGCCACAGGGTTGGCCTGGGGCCTTTGTCCCACGTCTTTATGGCACGCCTGGAGCAGAAGCCCACCAAGACTTTGCTCAAGGTCAGAGGAAGCCTTGAGGGACCATGCAAGTCTTGCCCAGGACTGGAGTCACACTGCTCCTGCTGGATCAGGACTTACCTGCAGCTTCTCTTTTCCCAGGTGCTGCTGGACTTCACCAACTCTGAAGCACTGCTGTGCCAAAGAGGGTCTTGGGGAGGAGTAGTAATCTGAGCCATGGACTGGCTGACATTTCCAAATGGGAGCTAAGGCTCCCATTCTCCCATTCCCTGGCTCACTTTCCAGCCAGGTCATGCTGCCCTCCCTGCTGCTGTACCCATAAGACTGCTGTCCCGCTGGCTGCTCCTGAAGACCCATAGGACTTTTCACAGCCTGGACTCACCTGGATCCAGCCCTGAACGCTGCTAATAAGGAAACTTCCCTGTCTGACCAACCAGGAGCCACTCTGGCAGTCACATTCACGCCACCTGAGTTGGGATTCACAGCTACACCCCCCACACTCACAGTCAGACCAGGATTCCTTACCAGCTCAGCTCCAGGTTTCCTATAGCAGATTCTCAGATATCCAGGTCCTTCAAACAGCTTAATCATGGCACAATAACTAAATATCAACAGCTTGAGCTGGTGCCGCTGAGGAGGCACCTGAATAAAGGAGCAAATGAACCCCTGGGCTTTTATACCCTCACAGCACCAAACTCTGGGGGTCCTCAGCTCCTGCTGTGCCTCAGTGTCCAGTTTCCTGGCTGGTGCCACAGGACCCTGTGACGTTTTCTGTGCCATGGGTCAGCAGTTCATGGCGTCTTGTCCTGGGCTCCCACACAAAGCTCAATTTGCAGCACTCATTGCAACTGCAAACTTCCTCAATAGCCTGCCTCCCTAACACATTGGGGGCACAAGGGGAAGAGGAAAGGCACCAGAAGAGGGAGAAAGCATTACCCAGAGACTGTGYGAGGGAAATAATTTATTTCTTTTTTCCTGCCGAAAGACTTGCTGGAACCCTGCTAGTTCTGCCAGTGAAGTGTCTGCTTGCAGGGCTGGGGAGAATCCTGGGGGTCAGCTTTCGGGGATGCTGGAGCCCCCTGTGTGAGTGCTCCCAACCCTCACAAGGAGCAGTGGTACTGTGGCTGCTGCCCTTGATGCCGAAAGATTTTTACTTTCTATACATTTTTCCTATTCTTGTAGATTTGTAGCCAACTAATACATGGTTGTATCTTCTAGTACTTTTCCTGCCCTTTTACCCTAGAACAGTAAGCTAACTTTCAAACAGATTCCTGAAATACTGTTTAGTCTTGCTTTTTAGGCTAGCAAGGACACTTTGTTTTGTGCTAAAACTTAGAAGACATAAAAAGAAAGCCCTTGGAATAACTCCAATGGGGCAGAAGCCAGGGGGAAATTACCTAACCAACTGCTCTTCTATTTGAACAATATTTGTTAGATATTGACTTCTATATGAACAATATTTGCTAATTTGTAAAACTTACAAAAATTTTAGAAATCTGATGCCAAGTGTGCCCATGACCACGCAAATTTATGACAGTGCACTCAATCTCCTCATCCAGACCATCAGTAAAGATATTAAGCAGAACTTAAGCCAACACAGATCCCTGGGGGACTCCACTAGTGACCAGTCCCCAGCTCGATGTGACACCATTCACCTCCATTCTCTGGGCCTGGCTGTGCAGCCTTTTCTTACCACAGCAAAGAATGCACCYGTCCAGGCCATGGGCTGCCAGCTTTTCCAGGAGAATGCTGTGGGAGGTGGTGTCAAAGGCTTTGCTGAAGGCCCAGGTAGACAACAACCACAGCCTTCCCCTCATCTACCAAGTGGGTCACCTGGTCATAAGAGATCAGGTTGGTTAAGCACAACCTACCCCTCCTAAATCCAGGCTGACTGGGTCTGATGGTTCAGCTGTCCTGTAGGTGCTGTGCCATAACCTTTGCCAGCACTGAGGTCAGGCTGACAGGCCAGTAGTGTCGTAGGTCCTCCTTATGGCCCCTCTTATGCATGGGCATCACATTGGCCAACCAGTCATCTGGGACGTCCCTGGCTTACCCAGGATTGTTGACAAATGATGGGCACCATCTTGGCAAGGTCTTCTGCCATCTCCATCATCACCTTCACAGGATAGATCCCGTCTGGTCTCATAGACTTGTGAGCATCTAAGTGGCTCAGCAAGTCACTAACTGCTTCCTCCTGGATTACAGGGAAGACTATTCTGTTCTCTGTCCTCCTCTACAAGCACAGGAGGCCAGTTGGCCTGAGGAGAACCTGTCTTGTTGTTGAAAACTGAGGCAAAGAAAGTGTTAAGTATCTGAGCCTTTTCCTTATCTTTGATAACTCTATTTCTCCCCACTCATCCAGTAAAGAATGGAGGCTCTCCTTCCACCTCCAAGATGTGTTAAGATCACCGAAGGACTTTGCCCACTGTGGCAAACTCTCTAAAGAAGCTGCTCATCTGTGATTACTGAAGCTCCCCCTCCTGGAACCTGGCCTCTGTGAAACCTGGGCTGGGAGTTAATCCACCTGAGATGAACTTGATATAAGATTGTCTGGGTGTTATCTCAGGCTGGTGGAAGGAAAGTATAGCTGGAGAACAGTAATGGTGGATGCAAAGACTCCACACAGAAAGCTAACTCAGCCGTGAGCAGAAAACAAAGGCCCCTCTGCTTACAATGTAAAATTTAATTCAGTTTAATAAAATGCAAATTGATATAACTCAGATAGAAAGAGTTGTGGTCCACTACAGCCTGAACCACAGCTGGTCCATTCTGGTGTTCAAAACATTTTTTTCTTTAGGAACTCCAAGAGCTCCTTCAGCAGACTAAAGAATTGCTGCAGCTTCTCACGTGGAAATGGACAGGGTTGCRTTGGTTTTGGAGGTAGCGTCTGTAGAGGGGTGGAGGGTTGGGCTGGCACTGCAGCAATTGTTGGTATTTTCATTCCTATCTTGGTCAGGATCCAGTCGTAGTAGTACTGAGTGGAGCTGGAGACCGAAGGCCGTTTAGGTCTAGCACAGCCTACTCCCCAGCTGGTTATGCCAACTTGCCAGTAGAAGTCACCACGGTTRTCTTTGCAGATAACAGGCCCCCCGCTGTCACCCTGAAGTAGAGCAGAGAGGATTAAGGTGCTGTGGGGTGGCCCCTGTCAGCAGGTAGAGTTGGCTCCTTTGCTCTCCCAGCCCCTGCCTGAACTGGATTCCTGGCAGAGCAAGGCTCTGCTTGGGTGCTGGATCCCACAGAACCTGACACCTTTGGGAGCAGGTTGGGAGCCTCTAAGGTGGGGCTCCCTCTCTCTCTGCCCTGTGCTCTGTGATTCTGGAGGAGCAGAGAACTGATGTTCGGGGTTGGCATCTGGACCCCACTGGGCAAGGACCCACAGATGGGAAAGGGGATGACAGCTCCAGTGGTGATGTGGAGCTGGGGCTGGGAGGGTGACTGGCCAGGGAAAGCACATGCTGAGCTGTGCTTGGATGGTGTAACAAGGCTGCCGGGGGCAGGGGACTCATAGCACTCCTACCTGGCAGGTGCCTATGCCGCCTTGCCCAGAACACACGTGGAATTCATGGACGTACCCCTGGAGCCATTCACTACTGTTGCACAGCTTCATATCCACGAGAGAGACCTTCGCCTGCTGCAGGATGTCTCTACCTGAAGCTGTGAGCAGAAAAAGGAATGTGTTCTCAGCAGCTCCTTGATCATTCTCTTGGCCTGTCTGGGTGTGAAGCCCTTCCCCAGGGCTTGGCTCTGCCTCTGGAGAGGTCCTGGAGTGCTGTGTCACTGCTGTCTGACTTTGGGCAGCAGGCCAGACCCATCTCTCCAGAGGCATACATCCCATAGCCCAACTCTCATTTTGGACTCTGCTGTCAGGAAGCCCCAGCCATCTCCCCCTGGTGTGCCCAGCTTGCCCTCAGGGSACAAGTCCTCTTTGAGAACTCACATTTCACAATCCTGTCACCCCAGCCAGCAATGTAGCAGTTTTTCAGCTGYGACACTTTCACTGTGGGACCAGGCAGGCAGGCGGTCTGAATGGTGGTGCCGCACCGGACTGGCCGGTCCAGTTCCAGCAAGGCGACGTCATTGAACTCAAGTTTAGGAACGTAGTCCTCGTGCATGATCAGCTTCTTAATCCGGCGCACTTCCACCCCAGAGCCTGTCTGAGCCAGCGAAGTGGCCCCAAGCACCACGGCCCACTCGTTGAGGGGACTGGAAGGCAGATGGAGAGAGGGGTGAGAGGGAATGCAATCGTGCTGTGACAGCTCAGCACTTCCCTGCCTTCTGCTTCCTGAGGCAGAGAGGAAGACAACACTTCAGAGGGTGAAAGTGCCCTCTCATGCCTTAGGCTCCAGAAGTGCTAAACTGGAGGCTGCTAGGAAGCAGTGGCACGAGCCCAGACTGTTCCCTGAGCAGCCTCTCAGCTGGGGTCTGCAATGCCATGGCACCAGGCATACTGCAAGGAAATGGGATGGGAGCAGCACGCACTGGTGCTGTGGGGTTATCCCCGTGCCCAGGTCCTCCTTACATTGAGATGTTGACAAAGCAGTGGGCAGCACTGAGGAGCCACTGTGGGCTGATGAGGGTCCCTCCACAGACGTGCACAGATACTGGTGGTTGCCAGACAGGGCGGATACTGGCAATTCCAGCCCAGGACCCAGTCCCTGGCAGGACATCTGTGCCACCCACGATGCGTGTCGAGCTGAAAAACGAACTCATGGGCCGGAGCCCACAGATCTCTCTGTAAGCAGAAAATCATTACTGTCCTATGGAAAGCTTGCTGCTGTGCAGGCTGAAAGTCAGCCAGCTTCCCTCCTCACAAGGCTTCGGTTGCAAAGCCTGCAGGGCCAGGGAACTGTGTGGGGCATGCATCAGTCTGCCTGTTTCTGCTCCAGCCCTGCAGACAAGTTGTCCCAGCAGCCTGGGGGCTGGTGATGAACTGAGGCTCCTGCCCAGGGTTTTGGAAGCTGTGGTACAGCCATGGAGGGCAAGTGGGCACCCTCAAGCAAATGGGCACCCTTAGGCAAACGGCACCCTCAGGCAACTCTCTAAGCCTTGCCTGGGCCCCCCTGCCTCAGAGCCTGGTGCTGCTTACCCGCACAAGCCATGTACAGGCCTGCCCAAAGCCAGTAGGATGAAGATGCACAGCAAAATCATCTGTCAGAGGCACAGGTCAGCTGCAAGGAGCAAGAGCTCGTCAGCCCTAGTGCAGCTACCAGCCTAGTGCCCACAGCATTTGCGTTGCCCGCAGTGCCCTGGGCCCTGGGGCTGATGTCACAGAGGGGCTGGTTCCATGTCCTGGGCATGGCGCCGGCCTCTGGAGGTCAGGGGGGGGGAGTGGTGTAGAGTCATAGAACCACAGAAAGGTCTGGGTTGGAAGGTGCCTTAAGGATGGACCAGTTTCAAGCCCCAGCCATTCACACGGACACTTTCCACTATAACATACTGCTCAGAGTCCTATCCAAGGCCTTGAACAGTAAAAGGGATGGGACATCCACAGCTTCTCTGGGCAATCCGTGCCAATGTTACTGTGTGAATGATACATGATTTTGCTTGTCATCCAAAATTCTTACAAAAAATTTAGCAACAACTGAAACCAACATACAGTGGTTTTTAAAAACACTTTGTGACATTTTTTCCATTTGCTTTGCTTGAGACAGGAAAATCAACTGAACAAATGTAACTGTCTTAAGGCCTAAGCTCTTTTGGTGTTGTTTAGAAGCTAACTAAGAAGAACTATTAATTAAATTATTTTCCTCCTACAGAAAAAGCTGAAGCCCCTTTACAGTTCAGCCTGTTCATTTAGTTGCTTCCATTTGGCTCCTAAACAGCTTACCCATTTTGAGAGGAATAGCAGAGGCTGTGCATTGGACTGCCACTTCAGTTAGGGCAAACAAGTTCCTCTCCTTGATGACCAAATTCCAGTTTTCTTAGTTTTCCCTTGATGAAGTTCAAGGACCAAGGAGATGGAAGGGGAGGGGAGGTAAAGAGAGAAAGAGGAGAGAAAGAGGAGAGAAAGAGGAGAGAAAGAGGAGAGAAAGAGGAGAGAAAGAGGAGAGAAAGAGGAGAAAGGTTTTCCATAGAAAGCATGTTTGTACCAAGGGAACAAATCTTGTTGGACTGAAGATGAAATTTCATCTTTGCAGGTTCTTGAAGGCCTTTGCTGTTGATGGCCATGTCCTGGGACCAAGTGTGATAGAGGAAGGCCGGCAGGTGTCACGTTTGGAGAGTGAAATTTCTGTGGTCAAAACTGCAGGTTTTTGGTTTTGCTTGGGTTTGTTTTTTCCCCTCAGCTTGGAAATTCCACACTTGCCCCTCTTTTTTTCCCCTCCCCTCAGGAAGTGCAGGAACAAGGCAGGAGATTTATTTTTGTTCTGAAACTCTCAGCCACTCCCCCTGTAGTACTTCCAGATTCCCACTGCATGCAATACAGATGATGTTATGGGCCGTATTACATGGGTATAGGAAAAACTCTACCAAGTACATGTTTTTAGAACTGCCTGGAGAAGGCACATAGAGGTGTAACGGTTATAGATTTGCATGGATGCAGGGGTGGATGATGGCTGGGAGGACATAAGGGAGCTGTACAAACCCAGCCCCAGCTTGTACTTTCCCTCTGCTATGCACATGAAGAGGCAGCAGCTCATCAGGGAATGATGAGCAATGGTGTCAATATCCAGTATGAGAAGGAAGAATTGGGAAGKTGAGTCTCTGTCCTGGTCCAAGGGCCACCACTGTTGTGCATTTGTCCACTGCACAAAGTCTCTATGCCCACCGCACAGTGTTACACATGCAGCAAAATATGCCACGGTACTACACAAATAAAGTTATTTCCACAGGTTTTTATTACAGCTTTTAAACCAAGGGAGAAAGCCTACCCAGGGGCTCTGGTGTGAGCCTTCCCCACAAGGCTGAATAATTCATGGTTTGATTTCCCACAGAGGCTGCTCCTAGCTTGCAGAGATCAGAAAAACAATGTGATGGCTGCAAATGTTGGTCTGCGATTTTCTTATTTTTTGTTGTTGAGTTCATTGTCATGGGACTCATTTGATCTGGTCGCCTTGTGCTATGCAAAGATTTTAAAAATAACTGTTGCATCATGAACAAATCTGAGTTGTCCAGCCAAAACTGAAATTTGAGAAGGGGTTTCATAATTTCAGGACACTTGCTGCCAGCAGTTGTTGCAAAGTCTGAGCAAAATGGGCTTGGAAGAAAGGACACGTCTGCAGCATTGAGGGATGCAGTGAAAATAAGATGAAGAGAAGTTGGCATTTCCTCCCTGGGTTGGATGCACTGATTTAACTGTGGTTTCTACATCAGCTATCTCCACAATATCAAGAGCAAACGCCACTTTTTTGCAGATCACKGAATCCTGTGCAATTGTGTGAAGCAGAGCCATTGGTATCATGAATCCCATAGCTGGAAGCATGAGAAACAGGACTTTGCTTCAACAGTGTATGACTACCAGTCTTAACAATCCACATGATTCAGTAACCTCCTTAGGGCACTGTGGACACTATGTGAGGTCTTCTGCAAGCAGGTCCATGTGGCTAGTTCTTCTTCCAAGAGAAAGTGTAGTTCCATAGCAATGATCTTTTTCCAAACATTTTTTTTTTTAAAATTTAAGGTGTTAAAATGCATAATTTAGCTAAACCCATCTTCCTTAGAGGGATCCTGCCTTTAAAAGKGGAAATGTGGAAAATGAAAGCAGTCCATCCGTATGCAGAGATGAAAAAGACGTTTCTCCTCCATGACTCTGGGCAAGCCTGCACARACCCAGAGGTAATGGCCCAGCCTATTATTTATGGCTGAACCAGTGCCCATCTGATGCCCACTTTCCATGCAAGCATGATAGCCACAGTAACAGAATGGAGCTTTGTCTTCTATTCCCAGACACCCCATCCCAGTGGGTACAGTTCATCCTCAGGACCAARCAGTGATAAGCAACACATCCCTCATAACTTGTTCTCTGAGCTCGATGAGATCTATATAAAAGACATTGAAGATGCTGAGTGATAAAAATGGCAATGTAAATCTCTGCTGCTGGTTGTGATGAGAGAGAAGTGCCAATGCTGGCAGTACCCTTGGGCTCTGCTTTCTGCTCTCTGGAACATAAAAGTTCTGCAGTTCCAGGTGCTGGGGTGTGTCATGGTTTTGCTTGGTCCAATTTTTGGTGGTGGGGGATGGGGATCAAGAAACCACAAAGATGGCTGCTGTGAGAAGTCCTRGGGGTGTCTCCTTCTTCTTCTTCTCCAGCAAAGGGAGTCCTGCCCCCCTCCTGTGTTTCAGAGCCAACCCATCATTGGTTCTGAGGTTGATGGACAGGCTGACCATCAGGCCTGGGCCAATT